AGAGGAAGACTCAGTAACAACATGAGATATCCAGATACACAGCTTTGTTTGGGAAAAGTGAAGAGGACTTGAACCACTTTCTGATGAAGATCAAAGACCACAGCCCTCACTATGGATTACTTCCTAATATAAAGGAAATAAAAATCTTTATAATTGGACCAATAAGGAACATCATGATAAATGGAGAAAATATTGAAATTGTCAAGAAGTTTATTTTGTTTGGGTCCATTATCAACATTCAAGGAAGCAGCTGTTAAGAAATCAAATGACATATTGCAATGGGCAGATCTGTGTCAAAAGATCTCAAAAGCACTTTGAGGATTAAGCTGTGCCTTATCCAAGTCATTGTATTGAAAATAGCCTCATCTGCATGAGAAAGCTGGACAATGAATAAGGAAGACCAGAGAAAAATTGATGTGCTTAAATTAAGTGTTGGCAAAGAATATTGAATATATTATTGTAAAAAAAAGTGGAGTAAGTATATGACTTCCTCTGACTTCACATGAGGGAAACCCACCCATTACCACTGAGTTGATTCCAATTTATAGTGACCCTATATATGGCCTCCAAGACTGTAAATCTTTATAGAATCATACAACCTCATCTTTCGGTGGCAGCAGCTGATAAGTTTGAACTGCTGACCTTGTGATCGCCAGTCTGATGCTTATTTCAAAGTACCACCAGGGGTTCCTTTCACAAGGGGGAAATCAGAATGAAGCTCTAATTCCAAGAACAATTCCTATGATGGTGGAAGCAATGTGCTGGCATAGAGTTTCTGAGGCTGTAAATATTTATGGGAGCAGAAAGTCTCATCTTTCTCCTGCAGAATGGCTGGTAGTTTTGAACTGCTGACCTTGAGGTTAGCAGCTCAACTCATAACCACTAAGCTCCTTAAGTCCTATGAGGTAGGGATCAAATATGCCTCCACTCACTTTCTTCCTTGGCCAATTCTGATACCACCTGTGCCTCCCACATCATTCTCTACTTCTCAGCTGGATTTGAAAATTCATTGCAATGGCCATGCAGAACTCACAGACAATTCACATGATTATGGACTTTATTACGGAAGTTGTTGCTGCAGTTAAGTATAGTTGAGTTAGTTCTGACTCTTTAGAGACCCTGTCTAGGATTTCCAAGAAGTGGCTGGTGGGTTTGAGCCCCAACCTCATGGTTATTAGTCAAATTCTTATCCTATAATGTCACAGGACTCCATTAAGGAAGTTAACAAGTTACAATTTAGCATCAGAAATGATCAACAAACCATTCTTCAGTCAAGATAGACTCTTGTCAGCCATACCTGTAAGCAAACTTCTGTCAGCCATGAGGCTTCTTGACCTCTTCCCTGCTCAAGCAATGTTACAAAGTTCTTTTAATGCTGCTGATAAATATCCAAAGGACATTCCTCCATAAGCCTCTGGCCGAAGGCTCTAGATCTGTGGGTTAATAAACCTAGGGTCCACCAGTTAAGTGCCTAGAGACACCCACTCCACAAGCGAGCCCACTGCCTGAAGGCACTCAGTTTTACTTGCTCTGTGGAATGGGAAGCCCACCACTCAGTCTTGCTGCTCTTACGTTACTCCTCCAGTATCACAACTTTCTACCTCTGGATCAGGGAGTTCAGTGTGTAGGGATCTCAGGGTACAAAGGACACACTCTGGCCCTGGTTTTTTTTCTAGATGGAAGAGAGACCCTCCTCCCACTTCTAAGATGGGTCATTTAAAACACAGCTTGGCAATAAACTGACCAATCCCCTCATTAGAGTTCCAAGTTTTTACAATCACAATAATCATGTTAGCAATCATTCATAACGGAATCATATAATCCTATCCACATCTTCCCCCACTTTCTTTTACCCTCAACCATCAGGAACAAGGGAAATATATCCAATCTGCATGGTCCTATCCAGTTGCCAGTAAGAGTCACAAAGAGCATGGCTGAAAGAGTCACACCAAGCAATTTTGCTACACTGTAATTCCCCAAGCCATGGTATTTTCAGTAACCTCATATGGATGCGAAAG